TAGAGGAGAGGGTGCCTGGGAGACAAAGCTGCTTATGAGCTAGTTCACAGGAGAGCAGTGAATTGGGGCAGAGCTAAGAAAACCCACAGACAACCCTCAAAACAACCGGGTCTATTCCCCTGCCCCAGTGGGGAAGATGTACTTCCCCATGTTCCTAAAGAGGTTCACACCCTCTAACGAACCTGACCTAGTGAGTACTGAAATCAGTGTCAATCTAACAAATGAAATGCAATTGGCTTGTGTGATGGTGTGGTTTGACTGTGGTGGTTATCCAAGGCTGCACGTATGTGATACAGCTGCACAGTGCTCTACACACACAAGTGCGTGAATAACTCAGGAATTCTGGATATTGATTGGAGCAATGTCAACTGAAACCATGCATTGATGCAGAAGTAACTGAGCTAAATGTCTCCAGAACGTCGCATCCAGGAGCTATCTGTATAGTGCACACACTTCATTGTTTGGTAACATTCTGTTTGGTTATATTCTACATTATTCTGTGCTCTAGAAAGGGAGGTGACTGGCCGGGTCAGTTAATCAACAAGGGCAAGAACGACAGACTCTGCAGGTCAACTGCGTTTTAAGGGAAAGTTGGGCAGGAGGTCCCTGCCGCTGGGCAGGCCTGGGGTGAGACTAGCAGCTGAAAACAGCTATGGTGTCCGAGGGGACGGAGAAGCACAAGGAACTCGCTACGACTCTGCGGGTAGAGACGAGGCTGGGTGTCTCCACACCTACCAGTCGGCCTTCTTCAGGCAGTCGACCGCTGCCCCCCGGCCCAGCAGGTAGCGCACGCAGTCTCGGTGGCCCATGGAGGCCGCCTCGTGCAGAGGCCGCTTGTAGTCTCGATTGGTGGCCTCGATGTCCATGCCCCAGGCCTCGGCCAGATAGGCTAGCACGTCCCGATGCCCGTGGCGCGCGGCGCAGTGCAGGAGGGTATCCCCGGCTGGCCCCGGGCAGCCGCCGGCCGCCTGCAGCTCCTCCTGCAGGGCGCGCAGCCGGCCCTCCTGCACCAGCCTGTAGAGGCGCCGCGGGTCCCCGGGCTGGGCCATCGCTGCGGGTCGGGCCAGGCTGTGCGGGACGGCGGCGGGCGGGACACCGGCGGCCGGGCAGGGAGAGGCCGAGGGCGAGTGGGACTTTCCGCCTCTTCGCGCAACCTGCCCCGCGCGCCCCGGACCCGGCAGAACCGCCTCTCACGCCCCCGGCCTTGTCCCCGGCAGACCTGCCTCCTCACGCCCCCGGCCTAGTCCGCAGGCCGGCTGCCCCCTCACAACCCCGGCCTGCCCCGCATGGGAGAAGCCGCGGTCCCGGGCACCGGGCGGTTTTCCTTCAGGGACGGGGCGGTCCGGGGTGAGCGCGGAGGGGCCTGGAGATCCGAGAGCACTCGAGTCCGCCGTCCTGGAGCTGTCGGGGCCGATTCAGGACTGAACACGTGAAGGAGTGGGACGCGCCATTACACCGCAAAGACCCGAAGCGGAGGGTCCGGCAGGGCGCGCAGAGTCTCGCCCCGCGCCGGGCAGGGTGGCTCCTGAGGCAGCCGGGCCAAGCGTGACCTGCCCCACGCGTGTCCTCAGGGCCGCCCTAGCCTCCAGCCGCTGGGGACCGGCGTTCCTGCGCTCCGCCCCAGTCCCCGCCCTTCGACAGCCGCGACTCCGCGGGAACCCGGGCAGCTCGAAGGAACTCTGGGAAAGTTTCCCCGCTCCGCCCCGGCCCGAGCGGAAGCGCAGATGGGGCGTGGCCCGGTAGCAGTGGCCGCGCCCCCATCGATTGCGCATTTCGATTGGCCTTAGGGGCCGTCCGTCAGCACGCCCCCTCCGGTCTCGTGTCCCGATTGGTCACAATGGCCGTCTGTCTGGCTGCGACGGCGGGCGCTTCCCGGGGCTGCGGCGGGGCGGAGCTCGCGGAGGAAGTCGGCGGGCGTCTCGGGTTCCAGGTCCCGGCCAGAGGAGGAGCTAGCTGCTGGGGGACGCTGGGCTGGGCAGCCGGCGGCGCGGGCCCGGCGGCGGCGGCGGCGGCGGCGGCGGCGGGGCCCGGGTCCGGAGCGCCACAGTGCGTGAGGCAGCAGACGTGGCAGGGAGTGTGGGAGGGGCTCCGCCGTGTGGAAAACTTAACCTTTGGTGTCCTGCGCTGGGGGTCCGGGCCCGGGGTGGGGCAGCGGGGGTCCGGGGAGCGCGAGGCTGGGCTCGGGCAAGCGCGGGCGTGGGGGCTCTGCCACCCGGGCCGTGGGCAGGTGGAGGGCACGGCGGGGGTGCGTGGGGGAGGCCAGGGCGCTCACTGAGCTCGTTCGGGAGCGGCCCCCGTGCTGCCCCCCAAGGCCAGGAAGGCTCAGCGTGTGGGTCCTCGGGGCTGGAGGGGCACGCGCGAGGACGTGGCCTCGGCTGCTGGCAGGCCAGCTTTCCCGTCTACTGTGACGTTTTGACCTTGGGCAAGTCATTTTTCGCTGCCCTCTGCCCCTGTGTCATCGGTAGCCTCTCTGTCCCTCACCTGAGCATGGGAAGTCTAAGGCGATATGGGAGGTCTGGCGCTGGTGGAGGGCACGGCGAGAGCTGGGTAGGCTGTGGGCGATGGAAGAGATCAGTAGGTATTGGGTTCCTTACCCGATCTGATTAGGTGCCAGTCACTTAACCTCTCCGTGTTTTCAATTCCTTTAGGGAGTAGAATGGGAGTCGCTCCGATTTGCCAGGCCTAAAAACGAGTACCATTTACATTTTTTATTGCACTTTGTGGTCCAAAGACAACCCTGTAAGGCATCAGTAGGGTTTTACAGGTGGGGAAGTGGAGGCCTAACGAAGTCAGTGACTTTCTTACAGAATTGCAGGTGATAAAGTCTTCTGGAAGGCAGGATGGTAGCATGTGGTGAGCGTCCGTCAGCGTCTGCCCCTGTGGTAAAATGAGCGGAGATAAATGAAAAGACTTCTGAAATGGGCCCATGAAGATAAGTCCGTTTTACTCCTGAGCAGATTGAGTTTCGTTAAGGTAACAGTGATGCGGAGAAGCCGCTGGAGACAGAACTAGTCCAAGTGTCAGCTTTGCTGAGGTTATTGTTCTATCGTGCCTTGTCACTCAAAAAAAAAAAAAAAAAAAAAAGGCATAAAAGTTGTTTGAAATGCACAAAAGTGTAGGGCGTGCCAAGCAAGGTTCTGACTGCTGCCGTTGAAGTTAGTGCAAATTGGAAGTTGAGGCATCTGGTAGTTTCATACTTTTTGCTTTTACCCCCACCACCCTCCTAGTTTCAGATGACTCTATCTTCTCTTGCATTATGTCTCTAATTTCCCTGTTTTTTAAACATAGTTGAGACACATGGGTTCACAATAGGTTGGAATATATATATATTTTTGAGACAGAGTCTTGCTCTGTTGCTCATGCTGGAGTGCAGTGACACGATCTCGGCTTACTGCAACCTCCGCCTCCTGGGTTCAAGTGATTCTCCTGCCTTAACCTCCCAAGTAGCTGAGATTACAGGCGTGTGCCACCATGCTTGGCTGATTTTTTTGTATTTTCAGTAGAGATGGGGTTTCACCATGTTGGCCAGGCTGGTCTTTAAACTCCTGGCCTCAAGTGATTCACCCAGCTCAGTCTCCCAAATGCTGGGATTACAGATGTGAGCCACCATGCCTGGCTAGGTTGGAATATTTGAACCCAGGATAATTGGTTACTTCATTGGTGTTGCACATTCAGTTTGCCTTTTCTGTCTTCTCTATGAACTTATTTTGGTCTGTATCCCCCTTTGGATGACTAAATGATAATGTATGTGAAACTGTCCCGCAACTCCTGTAATTTTCTGGGGCAAAAGCTTGGTCTAGAGGGGTGGGATCTGAACAGTAAGCTAATGGATGGAGCTGTTTCCTGGGTCTTGCTGTTTTCCGGTTGGGCTGCTCATTTCTTTTGTGCAGGCTTTTGGAGGTTGTGGTCTGGCCTTTACTGTCACAACACACAGAATGGTCATTGGCACTGACTTGCTCCCTGGCTGTCTTTCCTTTTCCTCCTGTTGTTTTTCATGAGTATGCTATTCAGCATGCCCATCGGTACACTGATCATTTGACAGGTTTCCTGATTTGTGAGTGTGTGTGGACACCACTACTGGTATTAGATTTAGAATTCCAATTTTGGGTTTGTTGCCATCATCGTTTCTCTGCTTGTCTCATTCCTCTATCCCTTGTAGGCTGATTTTATTTGGAAACTGAATTTGGATTCTGTCTTTGCCTTTCTGGCTGTGAAATTACCTACTTTTAGAAAGCATCTCAAATCTTATATCTGTAACTGTCATTCACATGCCTTTTGAAGACCAGTCTCAGATTTCAGAGGACCTCCTGGAGCATAAACATGGTATTCCACAGATAACTTAAAAAATTATTTTTAAAACTGGGACTTTCAGCCTCCCTCTCACTCTGGGGGGAAAAAGTGATTAAAACACAAACACTGTTTGTCTTTTATTCCTTAACATGGTTAATGACATTAACATCTTTTTTAACATTCTACTAGAAATGCCAGTTATCCTTGTTGCTTTTTATCTTTTATGTTTCTCTTTCAGTCTTGTCAAACAAAGCTATGTTCTTACTCACCTGTCCTCTGCCCAGGGTCTGCTGCTCTCAGGCCTTTGCCAGCTCTCATATAGGTTGGTATGGGGGCTTTCTGACTTGTTTTCCTGACAATCTCCATGTCTCTCCACCTTCTATCCTTTTTCCCGAGTCACTGCCCTAAAGTGTAAATTTGATTGTGTAATGACCCTGCTTTAAAAATTGGATGAGGCCGGGTGTGGTGGCTGACGCCTGTAATCCTACCACTTTGGGAGGCCAAGGCGGGTGGAATCCCTGAGCTCAGGAGTTCTAGACCAGCCTGGGCAACACAGTGAAACCCTATCTCTACTACTAAAATACAAAAAATTAGCCGGGTGTGGCGGCGTGCACCTGTAGTTGCAGCTACTTGGGAGGCTGAAGCAGGAGAATCACTTGAACCTGAGAGGCAGAGGTTGCAGTGAGTGGAGATTGTGCCACTGCACCCTAGCCTGGACCACAGACAGAGTGAGCCTCCGTCTCAAAAAAATAATAATAATAATAATAATTGGATGATATCTTGAAGCTCCTACCGGATAAAGTCCAATTTCTTTTTTTGAAGCCCAGTTTCTTTATCATTATGTGTAAGGACTTTTGTAGTCTGTGGCTCCAAATTCCTTTTCCAGCCTTGTCTCCTGTCATTCCTCATCAGGGAACCTCTTGTTTTGATGAAGCCCAGCTTTCCTGCCACATGCCTCTGTATTTTTGCACACATTGTTTTCTTCCGCCTTACTGAATCCCACAATTCTTTCAAGGCTCAACTCTTCATAAAGCCTTTTTCAACTTGCCTAACTCTGTTTACGTTTCTTTACTATCACAACACTTCATGCATGCATTTATGTGGTTGTTATATTGCTTGATGTTTAGTAACTTGTGTTTGTTTTGGTAGCCGCCTTATGGATAGGCTTATTCAGTTTTGTATCACTAATGTCTAAAATAGCATTTAACACCAAGGATACCACAAGACAAAGCCCTCACGGAGTTTATAATGAATCTGAGACATAGCAGATACGTAAAAGTAGTTGTGGAATGAATTGACTGTAGAAAAAACCCTTCAAATATATAAAATTATATTCTAGACCATAAGTAGTGATCTTTCTCATGTTTTTCACACATTCCTTCCTTAGGAAAAACATAGACTGGAAAGCCCCGCCCATCCTTGTTGGCTGTCATACACGAGTGCTGTCTCCAAGGGAGTCATAGGTGTCCCAGATGTGAGAGGATCCCGGGGAGATTGAGCTTACTACCTGGGAACTTGTGGATTTCTGGAGAAGCAGGCTGTGGTAGCCTGGCTGTGCGTCAGTGAATACCCGGGAAGGGAGCTGGAGCTCTATTTTGCTTGCTTTCTGTATTTGTTTCTTTTAGAGCTAATGGGGACACAATATTTTCAAGTTTTTCCATTTCAGGTCTATGGCATTTAGTGGTATTTTCCTTATAGTTATGTTTTCCAAATACTTTTCAATTTCTTTGGTTCTGACATTTCACAATGATTTTTTAAAAAATGTAATATGGAAATTAAACTTGAGGTTTTCAGAAGCTGCTTTCAAGGTTTCTAGATGCAGAGAAAAGAATATCACCGTAGGAAGTGCACTGGACTAGGGGAGTCAGGAGACCCGGGTTCTTGCGTTGGCGCCGTCACTCATGAGCTACGAGGTGAATTCAGGCGAGTCCTCCCGGAGCCCCAGTTTAATCATGGCACAATTATAGGATTGCTTTGAGGCTCAAATGAGAATATAGGAAAGAACTGCAAAAGCTCTAAAGCACTTAGGAGCTATCGGATAGTGGAGAGCTTCAAAACTAAGGAAGACAGCCTACACTGTAGAAGAAGTGCTGCAGCTGTGCATTTATTCATTTAATCAGCAATTATTTATGAAGCAATGTATGTTGCATGCTGGGTGTAAGTACCTCTCTACTCCTTCCCACTAGAACAGAGAGCTTTTAGTCTGGGATGGAAGACGTATTAAATACAGACTTATACAAATAATTGTTACTAATATAAAATGTAATACATCGCAATTATATTAAAACAATAATTTGTATAAGACATGTTAAATGCACACTTAGCCAAAGAATTGTTACAAGTATCTCGGATGTGTGGGGTGGTTTTATTCCTGCGAAGTGCTTCCTGCCTTGAGTGAATACTTTTATGGTGCTGGAGTTGAGAGATAACACAGTTAACTGTTGAAATTGGGCCATTCCCATTTCACAGGCTGCCATTGGACCTGTGGAGTGCCTGAGTCATTGTGATAATGGGCCACATTGCAGGACCCCTGGGCCATCTCCACAGGAGATGCCAGAGGACAAGTGCCCACTTGCTGATCTTCACGGAGCACCCTGAAAGTAAGAGGCGTGTGGGAAACTGACCAGGGTGGTTAGCTGACTCCGAAATTGTCCAGAGGGCAACACTGCCCTCTGTGGATATTTGTTAAAGTCGGGTATGGTATTATAGCAGTTTCTCCAGTCAGGTATCTTGTACTAGAGAGTCAAATTGATTTTTTTTAAAAGCAATTATTTAATAACAATTTTTTCCTTCCAGGAATTCTAAGTACTTATTGTCTTCATCTTGTCCATTTAGGTCTGTAATCTATAAGTTTTAAAGGACCTTTTGGTATGAATGCTGACTAGTAAAGGTAGGGAAAGAAAGGAAATTATTTGGTATCCATTTCAAATGATCCTGAATGGTTAGGGTAAGCTTTGCTGCATTAACAAATAGATCCAGACATGTAATGGCCTCACAGTAGAAGTTTATTTTTCAATCCCATAGCAATCTAAGGAGGCTGCAGGTCATGGTGGTGGTTGGAGTTTGTGTGTGTAGGTGTGGGGAGGGTTCTCTTGAAAGCAGTAGTCCGAGGATTGAGGCTGCTGGAGGCTCTTCTATTTCGAACACCCGGCTTCTAAGGATGTCCTGGGAATCAGCTTCCCAGTTAAGAGGAAGAGGAGAAGAGTGAAGGGCAGGTCTGGAAGAGGTGTGCACTGCTGCTGTTCCCACTGCATTGGCTGGCAGCCGGCGGTAAGGCAACGTCCACCTGCACACAGGACGGGGAAGTATGGCCTGGCTGTGTGCTCAGGGAGAAGAGCAACAACATGCTTTGCAGCAAAACCTGAAACACTCAGTTTCACTTTCTGTGACTTGTTTTGTAAGTTGTTTTCAGTAAAGAAGATTAAAAAAAGAAGGCAGGCAAATGAAAGCATAGGAGAGGAGTGGCAGACACGCAGTTCTCGTTCCGTGAGTGCGGGAGTGTCTCTTGTTTCCCGCTTGTGCACTTAGAGGGATGAGGGGATAGACGTGGTCCCTTCCTTTCAGTTCCCAGTAGTAGAGTTCTTGTAAGGACTCATTCAGGGGAGACTGATAAGGGTCTCCTCTCCATCGGGGACCTCACCAGGGCGTGGAGTGGGTCAGCGTGGCCTGGAAGGGGATAGGCTGTCATCAAGGTGAAGAGATTTGAGGGGTGGTGGAGGGCTAAACTCCACATCTGACCACTTCGAAGTCAGCAAAGGCCAGGAATTGCTGAGGTAGGGCTAAAAGCTGAGGGTTAGCAAAGAGGTGGGTCCTAGAATGGGGACCCCTGGGATGGAGGACAGAGAAGTCACACAGTTAGAAAGCCGTCTCAGAAAAGGCAGTGTGGGAATGAGCTTACTTGAGCCTGGGGAATATTCGTTTGACAAAATGGTTTGTGTTGTTCTGGTTTTTCTGCCGTGACACCTGAGGGCTCTAACACGTTTCTGTTGGTAATTGTGGAAGACAGCGTCCAAGGGTGGGGGCACAGATGCCCAATTTGGTGTGTGGGAGACCAATTTCAACAACTCTGGGGGCCTTGTAGAGTTTGCAAAGCCCCATAAGTGATTCTAATTTCTCTGCACCCACAAGAACCCCTAGTTTAGACACAGCTTCCCTTTATCTGTGGTTGTTCACAACAGATAACTTCACTCCCTAAAGAATCACAAGCAGCTTCTAACAGTAAATGCCCTTTATGGGAGGTGTAAAGTGCACTTGCTATGTAGGGAGGGAGGCATACCATGAGCTTTGGGTGACTCAGGGATGGAGGATTTTTATGGAAGAAGTAGCATTTGAGCATCTTTATTTTGATAAAATTATTTTTGAACTGCTTTTTAAAAAGGTATATTAGGAAGAACAGAATAGAAGGGTGATTAGAATTCTAGTGTAGTGTTTTGGTTTTATTTTTAACCATTTAGCAAGAACATTAATGCTGTTAAAACAAAACTGATGTGCCTTTTAGGAGACACTCAGATTGGTGTGGTAGTCACACATTTCTGCTGACGCTTCTGTTGCTAGGTGTTGACATAGATTTAGAGATAGGTGTTGTCACCCTCAATGTGAGTGGCTCGAGTACTTACATATATATTGTCTCATTCTCTGAATTCAGCGTGGCAGGTTATTATAATCCTCATTTTCATAAGCAAGGCTTTGGCGATGAATATACCTGCCAAGTGTGGGTCTTCTCCTGCACCCCACAGCCTCGGAGGGGCTTTAAGGGAACATTAAGTGTAATGCCTGCAATTGCAGAGGAGGTGGACACAGGGCTCCTGACTCCCAGTTCAGGGCATCACAGCACCTGTCTCTGAGACCAGAGATACAGTTTAGTTTTCCTGACCTCCAGCTGATGTCAGTAAAGTGATTTTTGATACATATATCCAATAAGTCCAAGGGGTGGGGTATCCAATAAAAGTGTTAATAAAAATCCAATAAAAGTACCAGCTCTTCCCCAGCCAAGCTATGGCTGGTAACGCCATTCCAGATATGTGATATAGGTTACTCGTCTTAGTGCACAGAGGCCAGATTGCCAGTCTAACCACCCCTCCCCCAGGGCTGAACCTTAACTCCTCCCAGGGTGGCTTCATGCCAGAACATACTGGAATATACTGGAACTCCCTCGAAGCAGAACACAGTGTTCCAACACTCCCATTAGCGCTTTCTGTTACTCCTGTGTCTTTGTTGGATTTTTGCGAACACTTAATCTTTGCAACAAGCATTTTGGATTCAGATGTATTTTCTGAGATAAATACATAAATAAAAATCTATCCTGTTCATATTACCTTTTCCAAAGCAGTTCCTTTTGGGACTGAACATTTTTGATGTTCTGTCATCAGTCTGTTGTGAGGTACCAGGGAGGTCTCCCTGTGGGAGCAGTTCTACAATATATGCCTAGGGATTAGAGTATAGGCTCCTGGACCTCCCAACTGAACTCTTCTCCCTGCTCCTCACCGTCCTTGACCCACCTCAGTATTCACAGAACGTGTGCTGCCTCAGCCCATTCGGGCTGGTATAACAAAATACCATAACTGGGCCGCTTATAAGCAGAAGTCTGTCTCTCACAGATGTGGAGGCTGGAAGTCCAAGATCAAGGTGCCAGCAGATTTGGTGTCTGGTGAGGGCCGCTTCCTGGTTCATAGACGGCACCTTCTCTTTGTGTCCTCATATGTTGGCAGGAGTAAGGGAGCTCTCTGGGACCTCTCTTATAAGGGCACTAATCCCATTTGTGGGGACTTCACCCTCGTGACCTTATCACTTCCTAGAATCCCACTTTTTTTTTTTTTTTTGAGACACAGTCTCTCTCCATTGCCCAGGCTGGAGTGCAGTGGCACAATCTTGGGTCACTGCAGCCTCCACCTCCCAGGTTCAAGTGATTCTTGGGCCTCAGCCTCCTGAGTAGCTGGGGTTACAGGTGCCTGCCACCACACCTGGCTAATTTTTATATTTTTAGTAAAGATGGGGTTTCACCATGTTGCCAGGCTGGTCTTGAACTCTAGACCTCAAGTGATCCACCTGCCTTGGCCTCTCAAAGTGCTGGGATTACAGGCGTGAGCCACCATGCCTGGCCCAGAGCCCCACCTCTTCATGCCATCACCTTGGGGGTGAGGATTTCAGTGTGTGGATTTTCAGGAACATGAACATTGAATCCATGGCACAGACTATGTGTCTGGCTCCACGCTGTCTACATACAGAGTTACGGCAGTGAACAAGGTGGGCTAGCTGCTTACCTTGGGGCATGCGTACTATCTTTTTGACTCTCAGGCATTTGATTGAGACATCTCCATATAGTTGATGGTCATTATCAATGCACTGTTGTTACAGTGAGGTGGCTGCAGAAGGCTTCAATAAAGCCGTTCTTCCATACTTCACGAAAAACGTTCCAGGGTTCACCCTGCATGTGTAAGTACCTCTTCTATACAAATCTGCCAGCCTCTGTTTGTAGCCATTTCCAAAAGCCAAGTGTAGAAGGCCGTCATAGATTTGGGTGGGCGTCAGACCCTTCAACTGAGCCTAATTTTCTCACTGGTCATGTGCCTTTTCATTGACTTTCAGAAGCCTTCTGGGACCTGACACACCATTCAGCTAAGCAGGCCTGCAGCTGGCCTGAGGTCCCGGGTCTCAGATTTGAGTGGTTTGACGTTGATCTTGCTGCTTTGTGATTTTTTTTTTTTCCTTCATGATTTTATCCATGAAAGCTTTTCCTCTGCAGGCCAGTTTGGCAGTAGATGTTCACCTCCTATTTAAGTGAGATATTCACTATTGGTAACTTTCTTTAGTGAGTGTCTCCAGTTATTTATTTTATTTTATTTTTTCCTTTTTTCCTTACCCTTCAGCAGGACACATAGTGTCTCCAGTTCTAATTATAGATACCGTACTGACCAGCTCTGAAGCAATTGGGACTGTTTGAGGAGAGAGAAAAGCGGGCATGAGTCCAGTCTCTTGGATCTGTAGGGCCTGTGGATTTGCTGCTGGGAATCCTGCAGCCACTCCTGCTGTTGAGCCGTGTGCGGGACACCTCACCCATGATTTTCGGGTGTTCTAGAAGCCATGTTGCTGCTGTCCCGTATTTCTTTTGCCGATATGCCCAGAGGTCCCCATTCAGGCAAAATAGTCTTTGGGATATATTTGTAATACGAAGGGTTTTGAACAGAGGAAATAAAATTTCATGTCTTATTTTTTAAAAAGAGAACAATAAGACTTTATGTTTTCTTTCCAATGTAGAAAACTTCAAATTTGGTTTTTAATGTAGAAACACTTCACATTCATAGTTTGTTACTGTGTGAATAAGACGATGTGCTGTTGTTTTACTCTAGATAAACTGGTCAGCAACATTACAGAACCAGCACAAACCAGCACAGAACCATCAAAGTGGAGGGGTGTTTGGTTTTCTGTCCATAATAAGCGAGCCATGTTACTGGTTAGTTTAGAAGGGTGTTTCCAGTAATACAGAATTGGCTGTAATTGGGCTGCTAGTACACTTCCTGCTTTGCCGTTAGGCGGCATCTTTATAATTTGAAAGATATTTCAACGTCTTATGCAAGCTACTCACATAAACCTCGTTAAATAGAGGGAACAGGTAAGTTTGTGTGCCTGCAGTTGGATAATTTGACAGACAGTTTTGAGCATTTTTTCTCATCTGTTCCTGGTGACACCTCTCAGACTTAGACGAGATCATGCATGTTCAGGGTGGGATGGCCGTAGACCTATCAGACTTAGAGACCTGAGGTGCCCTGAAGCCATAGAGCTACCAAGTGGCCAGCTGAGGGCGCCAGCCCAGCTCTCTTGCCAGGCCCTCCGCCCACTCACCGCGCTGTGCTGTGTTGCTTCGTGAGAGTGAGCGCATTTGTGAGTGCTGGGGCCTGACACTCGTGGAGTTGCACCCAGCTTCTAAGGTCAGGTGGTTAGAAGATCTCCAGCATCCTTTCCGAGGGGCTCGCAGAACTGGTTTTGTGTGTTGAATTGATTTTGGAAAAGTCTTAAAAATGAAGTTTTTTTTAAAAAGCTGCTATTAAACCTTGAAAAAGTTAACTGAAATTTGGAAGTGTGATTTCTGAATTAGCTAGGGAGGAATAATGAGAAAATATTGTAAACGATATCAACTAAACTCACTGAGGTCTTGGTTTTATGTATTTTCAAGCTTAAAGGAAATGTTGAGCTGGGCACAGTGGCTCACATCTGTAATCCTAGTACTTTGGGAGGCCGAGGTGGGCGGATCACTTGAGGCCAGGAGTTTGAGACCAGCCTGGCCAACATGGTAAAACCCTGTCTCTAGTTAGCTGGGTGTGGTGGCAGGGCCTGTAGTCCCAGCTACTTGGGAGGCCGGGGCAAGAAGATCGCTTGAACTTAAGAGGTGAAGGTTGCAGTGAGCCAAGATTGTGTCACTGCACTCTAGCCTAAGCAACAGAGGGAGACTCGGTTTCAAAAAAAGAAAAAAGAAAAGAAATGTTGAGTGAGATTCTGGCATTTGATACCATAGTTTAGTGGTGGAGTATTCTTTTTTTTTTGAAACGGAGTTTCGCTCTTGTTGCCCTGGCTGGAGTGCAATGGCATGACCTCGGCTCACTGCAACCTCTGCCTTCCGCGTTCAAGCGATTCTCCTGCCTCAGCCTCCTGGGCGCATGCCACCATGCCCAGCTAATTTTTTCTATTTTTAATAGAGACGGGGTTTCACTATGTTGGCCAGGCTGGTCTTGAACTCCTGATGTCACGTGATCCACCCGCATCAGCCTCCCAAAGTGCTGGAATTATAGGTGTGAGACACTGTGCCCAGCCTAGTGGAGTATTTTTAGGACCTGTGAAAATATGATACCGATAGAACCTGATTTTATTTTCTTTTGACCATCTCCTATAAAGGCTAACTTTAATTCTTTTTTTTTTTTTTTTTTTTGTGATAGAGTTTTACTCTGTTGTCCAGGCTGGAGTGCAATGGCACAATCTTGGGTCACTGCAACCTCCATCTCCCGGGTTCAAGTGATTCTTGGGCCTCAGCCTCCTGAACAGCTGGGGTTACAGGTGCCTGCCACCACACCTGGCTGATCTTTATATTATTAGTAGAGATGGGGTTTCACCGTGTTGCCAGTCTGGTTGTGAACTCTAGACCTCAAGTGAACCACCTGCCTTGGCCTCTCAAAGTGCTGGGCTTACAGGCATGAGCCACTGCACCTGGCCTAATTTTTATTTTTAAGAAGTACATCTTTATATTTTAGTGTTTAATGCCATAAGGAGGCTTCTGCATCTGTTACTGCATGTTTAATGCCACATGCAGTAACAGATGCAGAAGCATGGAGAATCTTGGTTACACATGGACAAGAATTACCTGAAAGAAGATGAGTACTACAAAACCAAGTATTTCAGTACCGTGGAAACAAAATTCTAGGCTTAATTGCTGCTGTAGTGTTTTGCTAAGGGAAGATACGAAGTTTTCTCCTCTAAAGGTCCTGAAAAGGAATTGGCTTCTCTTGCATTTGGGGCTGGGGGAGTCGCTGCTGTCCTTTCAAGTCTGTTCTCAATACCGAGGTGCTCGGGGGGCTGAGGGATGTGTGCCCTTTGGTCCTTCTCTCAGGGAAATTGCAGCCTGTATTATCACGATGTTTTGCTTCTAGTTATGTGCTTTTCATGTTATGTGCTTTTTACTATAATTAAAAATTTTTAACAATTTAACAAAAGTTAAAAAAGTTTTTTGTTATTAAAAAAAATAGCCTATTCTTAAATACTTTTGATTATTATAAAAAAAATATAAATGGCCTGGATAAAGTTAAGGAAAAGATGCCAAACCTCAGTATATCCACTAATGACAACTTCTTTTTCTGCTGTGTTGCCCAGATTGCAGTGCAGTGGTGCGATCTTGGCTCACTGCAACCTCCACCTCTTGGGTTCAAGCTACTGTTTCGCCTCAGCCTCCTGAGTAGCTAGCATTGCAGGCCTGCACCACAAGGCCCAGCTAATTTTTGTATTTTTAGTAGAGAGAGGGTTTTGCCACGTTGGCCAGGCCGATCTCCAACTCCTGGCCTCAAGTGATCCACCCACCTCCGCCTCCCAAAGTTCTGGGATTACAGGCGTGAGCCAGTGCACCCAGCCACAACTTTTTCTTAAATGAGCATTTCATGACCAAAGCTTCTAGAAAGTATAAGTAGAAAAAAAAATCTTAAGATCTTAAAATGTCACTTAGGATTCTTCAATTCTAAGAAAGAAAAATGCTAAGAAACGGAAAGGACAAAGTTGGTGGGCAAGGGGAAGGGGGAAGGGTTGGCTGGGGTGTTGACAAAATTGTGTCACTATACAGAAACATGGTATAATGTGTTGGCTAGCTTGTAGAATCTGCGATAACTAATGAATATCCCCTTTCTTCTACCTGCTGGTATGAAACAGTGAGACGGTTTAAGCGGAAGCATCTTACTGCCATCGACTGCCAGCATTTGGCTCGGAGTCACTTGGCTGTGACCCAGCCCTTCGGTCAGAGATGGACAAACAGAGATCCAAACCATGGTCTCTATCCTAAACCCAGAACAAAAAGAGGGAGTAGGGGTATGTCTCCTCCAAAACTCTTGCATTTCAAAACCTGTAGTGTATGGGTCCTTTGAATATCTCTTAGTTTAAAAGTATTTGTAAATGTTGCTGCTGTGACTTTGTAGTCTTGATGCAATAGCTTGACACTTTATTATTTGTGACTTTTCCATGAAAAAAAAAATTTTTTTTTTTTTTTTTTTGAGATGGAGTTTCACTCTTGTTGCCCAGGCTGGAGTGCAATGGTGCAATCTCGACTCACTGCAACCTCTGCCTCCTGGGTTCAAGTGATTCTCCTGCCTCAGCCTCCTGAGTAGCTGGGATTACAGGTGCATGCCACCATCCCCAGCTAATTTTGTTTTTTTTTTTAGCAGAGACGGGGTTTCTCCATGTTGGTCAGGCTGGTCTCGAACTCCTGACCTCAAGTGATCTACCCGCCTCGGCCTCTCAAAGTACTGGGATTATAGGCGTGAGCCACCGCACCCTGCTGAGTTTTCCATGAAAATTCTGTCCTATTATCATAGTTCCTAAAAGCTCCAGAAAAGTGTGATGGAATGAATCCTATTAGCTTGTGTAAAGTGATAGAAGACATGGGCCAGTGTCACTCCTATTCCAATCCAGAAACATTGAGATTAGTTGACTCTTTGTTCATCTTCTCTGTCCAATCTGTCACTAGGTCCATGTGTCATTATTTTTCCTCCAAAATGTTCCTTCATCCTGAGCTCTTTGTCACCTAGTACCTGGACTACTACAGTAACCCTGCTCCTTGACTTCAGGTTTTATCTCTACTGAATCAACTGGAATGTCCCCTCTAGGTACCAAATGAATTCCCACTTTAGTTAATAAATCTAGATTGCCTTATTTCCCTTTGATACAACTAATTTCAGAATCCAACTCAAATATTATCTGGTTGTCCTTTTTTTTTTTTTTTTGAGGCAGGGTCTTGCTCTGTCATCCAGGAGTGCAGTGGCACCTTTTCAGCTCACTGCAGCCTCTGCCTGTCACCTCAGCCTCCCAAGTAGCTGGGACTTACAGGCACGTGCCACCATGCCCAGCTAATTTTTGTATTTTTTTTTTTGTAGAGACAGGGTTTTGCTATGTTGCCCAGGCTGGTCTCAAACTCCTGGGCTCAAGAGACCCACCTGCTTCCGCCTCTCAAACTGCCAGGATTACAGGTGCGAGCCACCTCTCCCAGCCTGGTTGTCTTTAACTATTGTATGTTTCCTGCTGTGGGAGCTACTATAACCAACTGTATGAGGCAGTTTGAAACTTACTTATATCCTGTTGGATACTGAGTTTGTTCCATATATAGAAGTCTGTTTTCTATTTTGAGTTCTTTACTGACAAGGACTTGTGAGGTGGCCCTGACCAGGTGGTAAGGTCTCAATGACTGTGAGTGTGACTGGATTCAACAATTGGAAGATACCAGGATTTGGCTGGGAGCAGTAGCTCACGCCTTATTTGTAATCCCAGTACTTTGGGAGGTTGAAGTGGGAGAATTGCTTGAGCCCAGAAGTGCCAGATCAGCCTGGGCAACATAGTGAGACCCCGTCTCTATTTAAAATAATAATAATAATATTTTTTAAAAAAGAAATTTTTAGGATTTAACCCTGATCATATGGATTTAACCTATAGTAATAGTGATGTGAAAACTCTGGGTTTCTATCAAATTGCCCAAGAAAGAGTTAACAGTTTTACATATATATATATTTTTTACTAATATAGAAAAATATCTGTGTCAGTTTCATAAATTTTGTTCAAGGCTAAACCAAGTTTCAGTCCATTCTCTTCCAAAGTGAGTATTTTGGTTACAGCCATTTAGAAAGGAACTATGTATTATTGATAAGGTGTTTACTTCTTTGGCATTTAAAAATTATTTTTAGGAGTTTGAAAATGCTGTGGAATGTATGAAATCACCATTTAGGCTTCCCTATGTTCCTGAAAAATCTGTGAGGTCAGGAAATGTAACTATTTTTCACTTTACCTTTGTCTCAGAATCATTGGTGCTTAGTAAATGCTCACTGAACAAACATGTAGAAGAGATTAGGTACCATTCTAATACTATAAAGAGAATTCTGAGTCCTGCCTTTTTATTTTAAAATAAATTAATGTGTCACCTTCACAGGAAGAAATATGAATAAAAGCTGGGCACAGTGGCTCACACCTGTAATCCCAGCACTTTGGGAGGCCGAGGCGAGTGGGTTACTTGAGGTCAGGAATTCTAGGCCAGCCTGGCCAACACGGCAAAACTCCATCTCTACTAAAATACAAAAATTAGCCAGGCATGGTGGCATACGCCTATAGTCCCAGCTACTTGGGAGGCTGAGGCAGGAGAATAGCTTGAACCTGGGAGGCGGAGGTTGCAGTGAGCCAAGATCATGCCACTGCACTCCAGCCTGGGCAACAGAGCGAGACTCCATCTCAAAAATAAATAAATACATAAATAAAAAAGAAATAAAAATAAAAGTTTTAGCACTGTCAAATGAGAAGAGTGAGATTTTCAGAATCCTGATAACCCCAAGCATGTGAATTTCTGCTTAAGCACATGTAGGCTTTCTGTTGTGAGTGGGAGCGGGGCACTTTGTGAGTGGTGGTGTGGTTGTGAGCAGTCACCTCCTTTTTGTCTGTCCATTCAGATGTTCCCTGCGTAGCCTGTTTCTCTGTACTTGTATTTACTGCAGGGAGTATTGTTGGCCATCACACCATGCGAAGACTGGTCTCTGTCTCTTTGCAAATGTGTGTCTGGTTATATGATAGAGCCAAATATAAATATCGTTTGAATTAGTTATTTATATAATCAGCTGGCCCATACATGTGTTTTTATCTCTTTCCTCTGTTAACATAGATAATTGAAAATTAGTGTGTCTTATTTGGGTTAATAGCAGGTCAACAGTCATCGTTCATTTCTTGTCCATCCTGTTTGGGTTATCTCTACAGGTCAGGGACGTCAAAGATGTATCCCTGAGTTCTTCCTAGCAGGCAAGCGGCCGTGCACCAATGACATGGCCAAAAGCAATTCTGTTGGCCAGGACAGCTGTCAGGACTCTGAGGGTGACATGATCTTTCCTGCAGAGAGCAGCTGTGCACTGCCTCAGGAAGGCAGTGGAGAAGCATGGCTGGGCTCATCAGGGTCTGCCCCGCCCTCCAGGAAGCGGTCTCGGTCCTCTGAGGAAGAGAGTAACCAGGCTACTGGAACCAGCCGGTGGGATGGAGTTTCTAAGAAAGCTCCGCGGCACCATTTGACTGTGCCATGCACAAGGCCTAGGGAGGCCAGGCAAGAAGCAGAGGACAGTACGTCTCGACTCTCTGTGGAGTCTGGAGAAACCGACCAAGATGCTGGGGACATGGGTCCTGATCCCCTTCCTGACTCATACTATGGGCTTCTTGGGACCTTGCCCTGCCAGGAAGCACCAAGCCACATTTGTAGCCTGCCTAGTGAGGTCCTGAGGCACGTGTTTGCCTTCCTCCCGGTGGAAGACCTCTATTGGAACCTGAGCTTGGTGTGCCACCTGTGGAGGGAGATCATCAGTGACCCTCTGGTGAGTGAGTGCTGGAGTTGGGAGATGTTTCCTCTAAAAGCACGTAACTTTGCTTAATGTATGCTTCTAATCAGAGGATCTTTTCAGAAATGGTTTCCATTTGCCTTCAGAAGACATTCAAACTCCTTAGAGGCATTTAAGGCCTTCCGTGTCTGCCCCACCCTATGACTCCAGCCTCTTTGCTCACTTCCACTCAACACGGCTTCCCTGGGTTCCATCTACAGCTCATCTGCTGTGTCCTGACCACAGACTGCACATTCCTTCCCCTCCCTGGGTTGCTCTCATCCTCCCACGCTGCCCACCTGGAGGGTTCCTTCCTCATATCTCCCTTGACTTCGTGTTTTTCTTTTTTTTTTTTTGAGACAGAGTTTCCTGCTGTCGCCCAGGCTGAAGGGCGGTGGCACGATCTCGACTCACTGCAACCTCTGCCTTCTGGGTTCAAGTGATTCTCCTGCCTCAGCCTCCCCAGTAGCTGGGATTACAGGTGTGCACCACCACACCTGGCTAATTTTTGTATTTTCAGTAGAGACAGGGTTTTACCATGTTGGCCAGGCTGGTCTCTGAAACTCCTAACTTCAAGTGATCTGCCTGCCATCAGCCTCCCAACTGCTGGGATTACAGGCGTGAGCCACTACGTCCAGCCCGTTTTTGTTTGTTTGTTTGTTTGTTTTAATGTAAGCATTTATAGCTTATAAACCGCTCTCTTAAAACAGCACAACAGCATTCATTGCGTTTCATAAGTTTTGCTATGTTATGTTTTCATTTTCATTTGTCTCAAGATATTTTCTAATTTTCTTTGTGATTTCTTCTTTGACCCATTGGTTGTTTTAAGAATGTGGTTTTTTTGTTTGTTTGTTTCTGTTTTGTTTTGAGCCAGAGTCTCTGTCACCCAGGCTGGAGTGCAGTGGCTTGATTTTGGCTCACTTCAATCTCCACCTCCTGAGTTCAAGTGATTCTTATGCCTCAGCCTCCCAAGCAGCTGGGATTACAGACACGTGCCACCATGCGCGGCTAACTTTTGTATTTTTAGGAGAGATGGGGTTTCACCTTGTAGTCCAGGATGGTCTCAAACTCCTGGCCTCAAGTGATTCGCCTGTCTTAGCCTCCCAAAGTGCAGGGATTATAGGCATAAACCACCGTGCCTGGCCAAGAGTATGTTGTTTAATTTCCATGTATTTGTGGATTTTTCAGTTTTCCTTCTGCTGTTGATTTCTGGTTACATTCCATTGTGATTTAAAAAGATACTTTGTATAATAACTTCAGTGGTTTTTAAGTTTGTTGAAACTTGTTTCGTGGCCTAACAGGTGATCTATCCTGGAGAATGTTTCAAGTGCCCTTGAGAGGAACGTATATTTTGCTGTTGTTAGGTGGAGTATTCTGTATATGTTTGTTCAGCCCACTTAGTCCATAGTGTTGTTCAGATCCTCTGTTTCCTTATTTATCTTCTGTCTGGTTGTTCCATTCATCATTGAAATGGTGGTGTTGAAATCTTCTGTTATTGTGTTGCTGTTTGTTTCTACCTTCGGTTCTGTCAGGGGTTGTTTCCTATATTTAGGAGTTCTAATGTTTGCTGCATATATATTTATAGTTATTGTACCTTCTTGGTGAATTGACCCTTTTGTTGTTATGTCCTTTGTCTCTTATAACAGTATTTAACAGACAAAATTGACTTACAATCTGTTTTGTCTGATATTGGTATAGCCACAGCTCTCATATTATTTTGTTCTCATTGAAACTCTGAGCTATGTGTACTAATGTTTCAGATAGGGAAACTGAAGCTATAGCTTTTCCCAGATTCTATAACTATAACAAGTTAGTGTTAGAACCAAGATCAAGACCCAGTTCTCCTAGTTTCCAATAAAAATGTCTGTATCATTTCTGCCTGATTTGCCTGGCTTTTGAATTGTGAGCTGTGATTGCTTTTCACTGGTAAAAGGTTATCTCTGTGTTTGTGGCTTAATCTGCTTTTTTTTTTCTTTTTTTTTTTTTTTTTTTTTCCTGAGATGGAGTCTTACTCTGTCACCCAGGCTAACGTGCACTGCAATGGCTTGATCTCGGCTTACTGTAACCTCCGCCTCCCGGGTTCAAGTGATTCTCCTGCCTCAGCTTCCTGAGTAGCTGGGACTACAGGCGTGTGCCACCATGCCTGGCTAATTTTTCTGTTGTTTTTTCAGTAAAGACAGGGCTTCGCCATGTTGGCCAGGCTGGTCTCGAACTTCTGACCTCAGGTGATCTGCCTCCCTCATTAATCTGCTTTGTAATGGCCTTTGCCTCATGTTATTTTGTTTTTTAACTACATAGTTCATTCCTTGGAAGAAGCTGTACCATCGATACCTGATGAACGAAGAGCAAGCTGTCAGCAAAGTGGACGGCATCCTGTCTAACTGCGGCATAGAAAAGGAGTCAGACCTGTGTGTGCTGAACCTCATACGGTGAGCTTCACCTGTTGTAAGGAAGGCGTCTTTGAAGTCTTCCTTGTACATCGGTGCTTATGGTCACCCTACTCATGGCCTCTCCCATGAATGTCTTACAGATACACGGCCACCACTAAGTGCTCCCCGAGTGTGGATCCTGAGAGGGTGCTGTGGAGTCTGAGGGACCACCCCCTGCTCCCCGAGGCTGAGGCGTGTGTGCGGCAACACCTCCCTGACCTCTACGCTGCTGCCGGGGTAGGTCTGGAGGCTGCGGGAGAAGGCGGCGGCGTCTTTCACTGGAGGAAGCTTCAATTGAGGATGACTTTGTATTTATTTTTAATATCTGTATTTAATCTCTGAATGCTTTGAAGCATTCATGTTGTCATCATTCCCAATGGAGAAATAAAAGGCCATATAATTATAGAGTCTTAGATTTAGAGGAAATTTTAAAAAATCATTTAGTCTGATTTCCCATTTGGTTGAGGAATCCTCTCTGAAATATTTCTGAAAAGTGGTCATCTAGCCTCTGAACACTTTTAATAATAGGATTTCTTTACAAGACAGCCCACCCCATTATTGACAACTTGGCTTATTTGAAAGGGACAGAAAAATTAAGGGTCTTGCTATAGTCACACAATGAAGTAATGAGAAGCTGGAAATAACCCTCAGTCTCCTTGAATCTCAGCCCTGTGGCTCGTCTTCCAGTTCAGGGGTTCCCAGATTTAATCTTCGAGGCTACGTGCAACCTCTGCGTGTGTTTTGCTGGCCACAGAGCGCTGGGAACCCAGGCAACTGCATTTCTCTTTATCTTGAAGAAGATGATTGCTGATGGTGGTGGAGTGGGTCTTCTTTCATAGGATGGTTGAAGTGAGAGGGGATGGGACATTCCTTTCTTGGAATGTGTTCTTTAACACAGAGACGTGTAGTAACTTAAGAATGGTAAAGGCTGGGTGTGGTGGCTCACACCTGTTATCCCAGCACTTTGGGAGGCCAAGGTGGGTGGATCATCTGAGGTCAGGAGTTCAAGACCAGCCTGGCCAACATGGTGAAGCCCTGTCTCTACCAAAAATAAAAAAATTAGCCGAGCATGGTGGCATGTACCTGTAGTCATGGCTACTCTGGAGGCTGAGACAAGAAAATTGCTTGAACCTGGCAAGCGGAGGTTGCAGTGAGCTGAGATCGTGCAACTGCACTCCAGCCTGTGTGAGAGTGAGACTTCATCTCAAAAAAACAAAAAACTTGTGTCCACTATTAACTTTCTGTGTAAGTGAACATTTATGGAGACATTGCTAAGAGGAGCATGCTGTCTTCACAGAATAAACTTTCCGTAATTTCATATTTATTTAACTTACCATGAAAGGTTATTACTAATAATAAATAGCAAGTTAACACCATCATGCTGGAGAATTGCCAGACTTTATTTCCCCCACAGCCTGCGAGCAGCCCTCTCCTGTGTCTGCGTCTCTCTTGCCTCTTGGGTGGGCGCCCCCTGCTGGCTGTTTTTCTCTGGCCCCGCCAAACGTTATAGGCCTGAGAGCCCCCGTGGCCTGGAGAGTAGGGTGGTGAGATGACAGGGAGCTCATATTTTTAGACTGTCTCTCTATTCAAGGTTCTATGTTAGATACTTCATCCATGTTATTTAATTAAAGAAAACTAAGATCTCAAATCCAAAAGTGATGAGAAGGAGTCCAGGGCGAACGGAAGGGCTCCCCTGTTTCCCAAATACCACTTGGAAAATTTGGATTCAATCCGGACAGTCTGTAGCCAGCAGCTGGACCCCCGGCTCGGCTCCTTCCTGCTGTGATTCGTATTAACCATGGCCTGTGTTTGGGCTGTCCCTTCTTCCCTGTGCACTTGGCTTGCAGGGTGTCAACGTCTGGGCCCTGGTGGCGGCTGTGGTGCTCCTCTCCAGCAGTGTGAATGACATCCAGCGACTGCTCTTCTGCCTCCGGAGACCCAGCTCCACGGTGACCATGCCAGATGTCACCGAGACCCTGTACTGCATAGCCGTGCTTCTCTACGCCATGAGGGAGAAGGGGATTAACATCAGCAATAGGTAATGCCCCGGGAGGCGGGGAGGGGATGCTGTGATAACGGGAGAGTCCCAGATGCGGCAGCAGGTCCAGCCCCGCCACTTAGCAGTATTAGCAGCCGGCAGGCTGTGGGACCCACCCTGCTCCACCTCAGCGTCATCTTCTGCAGGAGCCAGGGGTGGAGAGTTTGATGTGGAAAGGCTGGTAAGAGCGCGTTATGAACATACAGTTCTAGGTGGCTGCAAGATACCACCAAGGCTGATTTTACCATCATGGGTCCTGCAGCCTTAGGGGAAGCCCCTCGCCAAGAGAAGCCTTCCTTATTCACCTGTGGCCTCGCTTCCCTGGGAATATGTTAGGCTCTGCTTCCTCCGTTTCCCACTTGGATGGAGAAGACTCGTCCATCTTACCACATGGGAGAGGCTGTTGCGTGTGGGCTGCTGATTCACAGGGGCCCCGATGGTTTCCTCAGCAGGGTGGGGAGTGCCTGGGGAGTCGTGTGCATCTGACAAACACTGAACACCTGTGCGTGTCCAATAGTTGTCCAGGAGCCGGTCCACAGCTTAGAGCAGATTCCTGATCTAGTGAGGGAAGACAGGTCCTGTGTAAGTGAATGTGTGAAAAGGCATTTTAGTGAGTAATGAGCACTGCAGAGAAACTAGAACAGAGTGCTATGGGGGGAATGCTGCTTTAGAGGGGTGGAAAAAGCTTCTCTGAGCAGGTAGTGTCTGAGTGAAACCTGAGTGTGGAGGAGGAGCCGCCGTTTCACAACTGTGGGGAGAGCAGTTTAGGAGAAGGTGTAGATGCCTTAAGGGCCTGAAGATGGGAATGAACTTGGGACATGTGAGGAAGAGAAAAAGTGCAGTATGGCAAGGGTGGGAGGGAACACAAGGTTGTGAAGGACGGACAGGAGCAGTTGAGGGATCTTATAGGCCCGGATTAGAAGGTAGAATAAAGCCAGGCTCGGTGGCTCACACCTGTAATCCAGCACTTCGGGAGGCGAGGCGGGCAGTTCGCTTGAGGCCAGGAGCTGGAGACCAGCCTGGCCACCAAGGAGAAACCCCATCTCTATTAAAAATACAAAAATTAGGCCGGGTGTGTTGGGCTAAAGCCTGTAATCCCAGCACTTTGGGAGGCCGAGGCGGGCGGATCACGAGGTCAGGAGATCGAGATCATCCTGGCTAACACGGTGAAACCCTGTCTCTACTAAAAAATACAAAAAAACTAGCCGGGCGAGGTGGCGGGCGCCTGTAGTCCCAGCTACTCGGGAGGCTGAGGCCGGAGAATGGCGTAAACCTGGGAGGCGGAGCTTGCAGTGAGCCGAGACCCGGCCACCGCACTCCAGCCTGGGCGACAGAGTGAGACTCCGTCTTAAAAAAAAAAAAAATACAAAAATTAGCCGGAAATTTTTGGTGGTGCGTGTCTCTATTCCCCGGTTACTCGGGAGGCTAAGGCACGAAAATCACTTGAACCCAGGAGGCAGAGCCTGCAGTGAGACGAGATCATTCCACTGTACTCCAGCCTGAGCGACAGAGTGAGGCTCTAAAAAAAAAAAAAAAAAATGTAGACTAAAACTCAGGGTGCGCTGGGCAGCTGGGGAGGGCCTTGTCCCTGAGTTGGAGTGATGGGGACAGGTAGCTCGACTGTGCAGCCATCCTGGAGAAGCAGAAACCGTCGGGGGTGGGGCGGGGGAGGGGGTGCCTTCTCCAGGGAGACTGGCCCCTGGAAGTTGCAAGCCCCGAGAGGAAGGTGGCTGGTGGCACCAGGGGAGTGACTGGTGCCCAGGCATCAGTGGCAAGGTACCAGGAGGGAACAGGATTCCCCAGAAGTGTCCAAGAGTTTGCTGATGGCTGCCTTCTTGCCGCATCCCCACAGGGTGGAGAGAACACTCTGGCGTCTCCTCTTAGGAAGACCCTAATCCCTCTGGATCAGGGCCCTGCCCTTGTACTCTCACCTAACATTAACTACTTCCTTATTGCACACACCACATTGGGGTAGCGCTTCAACACGGGACTTTCAAGGGATGCACTTCAGTCCATGGCAGTATGTATGTTGATTTTTGTTGCGTTTCTATGTGTCTTCCTATTTTTTCTGGGAGATAATATAATCACATCTGAAATGTTGGATTATTAAAGGTATTTGTTGCATTGGAGAGGTCGAGGCTTGGAGACAGGCTCTTCTCGCTCTGGGGGTGGGGAGCAGTGCACTCGACTGTTGGGGGAGCGAGTCCAGGCTCACCCCTTGGTCTCCCCCACAGTCGAGGGGAGACTTGGAGAGGCTTTGGAATGTCATGTGCCAGCTGAGTCTGATGAGTCTGACAATGTCCTGTGCCTCTGCTGATTGAACTTTGTCATCTTTGGTCCCTCTTGGTGACTTGGAGGCTGTTGTTTTCAGGTCCTTAGTAATCAGATCTTGTTATCCGTAGCGTAGTCCCTTTTCTTGGGACCTTAAAAGATAGAATGCCTTCATGCTTCTAAAGCAATGTCATGTCATAAGAAGTAGACAGCAGAGCCACTGAGGTTTAGAAAGAGGCTGGTGTTTTTATCCGCAGGTATAGTGAGTATCATTCAAACAAGAGTCTCAGTGCTAGGAGCAGTGTTTCCCTTTGCCTTCCACTGGTCCTTACAGCTTTTCTGGTTGTTTAGCTCTTAAAGTCACCGCTGGTGCCCGTCATTCCCTGAAGAGCCTGTCCTGGTCTCTTCCTCCTCTTGGTGATATACATAGAAACTACACCTTTCCCAGGACTGTGTTATCTGAGAATGCTTTGCCAGCCATAGATATATTTAAATCCTTTTCTTTCTTTTTTCCATTAAATGGTGGTAGGTATTTTCTTTTTAGAAATGGGAAGGAGTTTAAATCCATCTGAGGAAAAATAAGATACAGATTGTGACTTGAATTTGAAACTTTCTAAATCTACTTTTTTTTCTGGTAGGATTCACTACAACATTTTCTATTGCCTATATCTTCAGGAGAATTCCTGCACTCAGGCCACAAAAGTTAAAGAGGAGCCATCTGTCTGGCCAGGGTATGTGTATATGTCGGTCAGCATGTGTTTTGTCTTCTGTCCTTGACTCTTCCTTATACTTAGGGAGGGAGATGTTTCGCTTCACTTTAGCAACGTCATTGAGGCATAATATGCATTGCGTAAAATTCACCCATCCTAAGAGTGTAATTCAGTGATACTGCCTGAGTGTGCGTCAGCATTATAATCTAGCTTTAGAACATTTTTATTCCCGTAAGGGGAGGCCTTTTTCTGGTCAGCTTTTGTGTATCGTATTTGTCTGTTTGGTTTTGGACAGCCTATCCATCCCCTGGACTTTTCATGTCTTTCTGTTTTTCTCATTTCTCTTCTGTCATGATTATAGCAAGAAAACCATCCAACTTACACATGAACAACAGCTGATTCTGAATCATAAGATGGAACCTCTCCAGGTGGTGAAAATCATGGCGTTTGCAGGTGAGGGCGCCCACATCAGGTTCCCCAGGCGGTGGTTTTCCGCCTTTTCTCCCCACAGCCCCTTCCCGCTACCCGCCAGGGCATCTTTGCTCTGATAGGTCATCCAACTAACCATTTGATAACAGATCAAATAATCAATCTCAAAAGCAATTGACCAAGGAATCCTTGCTTCCCCGGACCACTCCATGAACATCCGCAGTAGAATTCCTGTTGACGGGTCGTTCACAGCAGTTAGTTGGTGGGGTAGATGCCCCCGGGATTGAGCCCAGCATTGTGATGTTTGCTGAGGCACTGACGGCTTCTGGAGAGGGAGGGCATGTTCATCTCCAGCCCAGGGTTTCAGTAACTCCCTAGTTTTGTGGGGTGACGTCAAGAGGGTCTGCCTTGGATTCGGTTTTAATGTACATTCATAAATATATTATCTACAATTATCCTGCCACACCGATCCACTTACAGCCTCCTGAAGTACTTGCTTATTCTTTCATCACAGCCTTTGCTCATGCTATTTGCTATTTTTTTCTACCCGTAATCCCTTCCTGCTCCTTTTGTGGCTAAATACCCTGCTAACAACAACGACAATGTATTAAATGCCTGCAGTGTGTCTGGCATGGTGCTGATCCTAATAGCATTCCGTGAGGTTGCTTAGTTACTCTTATTTTATAGAGGAAGAAATTGAAGCACAGAGAGCCTTGCCCCAGGTTGAATAAGTGGATTCGTGGTGGAGGCAGAATTCAAAGCTGGACTTGCCTCTCTCTAGAGACATGCTTTCCCCTCCCTAACCCTCCCCTCCTGTCCTGAGGGGCATTTTTGCCCTCAGGAACCCTACCTCTAAGGGATACCCACTTATTTCTGAGAAGCAAACTGAAGCTCATGAGGTCAAGGGTTCCGCCTGTCCTTTGTCCCTAGGCTGGAGCCTACCTGAGCTGAGATCCCAGCCCGCCTTCACCCAGCTTCGAATCTGCTGCTCTTTTTGTGGCACTACTTTTATCAGCACTGAAAAACTTGTCACTGTCCTGCTGTCAAGACAGAGGTGTGATAAGCCTGGACAAGGCCTGATTGGGGATCCCTGGGCATGTCTTGTCTGGTCAGAGGGTCACCTCCTTTCCTCCTGGCTTCCCCAGGCACTGGGAAGACCTCAACCCTG